CGCAAAAGATGACATTGAGACTCAGACAGAGGACTTAGACTAGTGGGTTCCCGGTTAACCGACCACAGGTGCACCACTCTTTTATGGTCCATCGGCAAGAGCATATTTCTGGCAGTTTCTATCGTTTTCTATCGCTTGCAGTGGGCGCGTAAAATTTGAAATTGCGGTTCGTCGGGATAGTCGGGATAGTCTATCAGCGGCAAGCGGCGACGCGTCATCAGCATAGAGAATATGCTGGCAAGTACCGAGAGCGATCGGACTAGAGAAACCGTGCCCCGAGCCAGAGCACGTATCTTCTTAGTCTCGGACCACACTCTCATGACATCCCAATTTGGGAACCCTGTCATGAGAGTCTCGATCACAACCAACGACATAATTGAACTGGGAGAATTTCTGGGCCTTCTGTCAATCTTTCGTATCTACCTGACTATCTCCCTTGTCCTGGGGCCAAAAATGCTAAGGTGGCCGGATAGCCAGTCTCTGATAATACACACAATTCCTTTTTGGACCTCAAAAATTTGGCCGTAGCTAAAATGTCGTGGGAAAAACTTCGGAGGTGGTTTTTTTTAGCCCTTTTCAAGGTCTGGGAATTTGAATCTGTACTCAGATTTGCTCAAAAAAAACCCGTATTTCGGGAATCTAATTTGTCGACTTTGCACTGTACGTGCCGGTGGTCACGGGTGCCCACGATGTCAGGTTATAATCTTGGCGGAACTCACATTCTGCTCTTTGTCCAGATCCTCTCTTCCTCCTTCCTCTGGAGTCTGTAGCATGACTTCCGCTGGTCCGTCCTCGGGCCCCTCCTTCAACTCCAAGTTGCACAACACCGCAAAATCTACGAGGAGTAATATCCACGTTTCAATACCTTCCTTGGGTATGCCAAAAAACCTGAAATATTCGCAAAAAGCCGGCGGTTTTGATAGCTGTCAAACAAAAAAGTCAGATTGGCCCTAAGCTCGTTAAAGGAAAGTTGTAGAGCTTTAAAAACACTACAAGATTTGTATGGGGTGCCTTTCAATGGCTAGATTAGGTAATCTGAAAAATGCGAAATATCATACATTCTAATATATTCATATTTCCAAATCCACCTATCATTTTAATAATTTCTGGCCTTTTCCTGCTTCATCTACTCTCTCACTGATATATTTCCTGTGTCATTCAACACTGTTTACCCTGTGTTGTGCATGGTAAATTCAGATATATTCCTATTTTCAAATCCACCTCTCATTTTAATTTATCTACTCTCTTCCTGTGGCCAGTTCCAGGCTTCTCGAGACATCTGTTTCATCAGCGACTTCCAGAATTACTTGGACAACTTTTCAGACCCTATGCTTGAATTGGTGCGAATGTTCAAGGGGATCAATGGGTTTCAAGGGAGTTGTTCCGGCGCATTGTGACTGTTTGTAACGCTATTTCTGTAAGGATGTATGGCATGGGAGAAGCAGACGGCTCGAGGTTTGAATTATTGTTCAAAAGAAGCAGTGTCAGATCTCCTCGATATAAATCGGGGCACGGGAAAACTGGGGCTGTAACATGTGCGAAAGATCAGAATCCAAATTTCGGTTGCAAGAATGGAGCTATCCTCTCATGTGACTCTGGTAGCTGCTGGTAGTTCTCAGTAGTTTTAGCATACATGCTCAGTAGCTTCCTGTATCTCGTGACGTCGTCATAAGGTGGAGAGCGTGGGAACCCAGCACCTTTATGTAAGCCGTGACAAAGCGTGACGTGACGTTTCAAATCTCGGGTCGGAGAAAAAAAATTGAATAAATCAGTCCTCCATTACTTGCACTGACGGTTTCCGAGCACGGGGTTTCACTAGAAGATATCTCACCAGCTTCAAATGCCTGCGAGCCTTTAAGTGACAAGGAGGTCGGCCGTCGTTGCTCCGAGACTCTCCAATTGGCGGTTAACACAAGCTTTGCAGTATGTGTGATATTGGGTGCTGTTCTACAGCGTCCCGTGGTGGAAATAGTCCTTTAGGCCCTGCGGTGCCATGGCTGACTGACGCGTCGAAACGCGTAAAAGATGGGTGAAAAGATTACATAATGTGATACACGTGATAATTTAAGGCCTTGGGAAGGGCTTAACGTTCCGTGGAAAATCCTTAAGGCCTTAATTAAGGCCTCCTTAAGGCCTTAGCCCTTCGAGCGAACACTGGAAAATGATGGGTAGAGAACTGCTGTAAGCGCCAGACTTACACCCTCCCCCTTCAAAAAATTTGAATGGGTTAGGACTCTTCCACTTGTTCCCACACAGGTTCAACTGCGATAAAAATGTGCTGTGAACTGCCCCAGCCGCCGATGGCAAGGATGGGAGAGATGCCCTGAATGAAGCCGTCAGCAACTTCTTTAAACACGCTGCTGTCGCACGCACGTTACTCTTTGCTTGGGCGACGAATTCTCTCAACCTGGTCTGGCGTGGTAAGTCTGGCAACAGGATCATTAGGTGGCGAGAGCTCGCGGGATCTAGCACGTACCCAAAGGCGTACACCATGTGCGTGTACTTCCCCCAGGAAAGGTTTGCGGGTGGCACACCGCTCCAGTCGGGGTATCACGCTGACGCAACTACTTCTTGTGTATCATCGGTGGTGTTTGCTCCATGGGGACTGACGTCGACCGTCGACGTCCCGCTGGGAGATCGGTGGATATGCTGGGTGGCAGAAATGGCCCCCAGCAGTTGTGAGCAGAGTAAGCGTGGATCCCCCACAGTCCGTCGATGGTCAAGTTGAAGTTTCCGTTCCTCGCCGGACTAAGGCCCTGGAAAGAACACGAAAAGAGACGGTCCCGATTTGCATGCAGCAGTTCCTCCTTCCAGAATTTGTCCTTGTCCAAGGTTTCTAAGTACCTATTAGCATCTAATGACTTCTTTTTGCATATCCTGACGTCTCAGGCTCAGAGGCTTGTGCAGCTCGGTTTCTGCTTTTTAAAGAGTTTCCTGATGAAATTGGGCCATTTTGAGGCCTGTTTGGGCTTTCCTGATGTTTTTCGGGCGATTTTAGGCCTGTTAGCGATTTCCTGACAATTTTGGGAAAATTTTTGGGGGCCTGTGCCAATCCTGACGAATTTGGCGAAACCAATCCTGACTAATTTCTGACTTTAAAATCAGGGGTCCCCACCTATTATCCGGGGTCCTCCTCACGCTCGGGAACGACTTCGGCAGCAAGAGTCGAAACGGCATATTGAGGACGGTGGACATACGGTGAGTCGTTGATCATGTCGTGAACTTGATCAATCCAGTCGTCGAAGTCATCATCCGACTCGGGCTCATCAAGGACCCCGGATAATAGGTGGGGACCCCTGATACAAATCCTGACGAATTTTTGGGTTTTGAGGCCTCCAAGGGTGTCCAAATCCTGACGAAATTCGCCAGAACGACGGAAATGCCTGGTAGGCAATCCTGACGAAATTTGGCTGATAGTGATGTGCCTGTTCAGATTTCCTGACCAAGGATCAGATGGCTCAGTGGTAGTGACCAGAACGTAGGACTGAGGACTCTCATTCCTTTGGTGGATCCAGCGGTGCGCGCAACAATGTCGATGCCTATCTACCTGGGTCATTTTTCGGTCTCAGCAACGAGGTCAGGGTAGCAACCCGGCGAGCCGCTCCCAAATGTGTGGGCATGTCTGCATGTGAATCTCTCGACCCCGCGTTTTTGAGTCAGGAGAGGCGCGAGCTCGATCCAGAGCCTAGTCGCAAACTCGTGGCAGCTATGCTCCGCACGCGCGAAATGCAAGACAACACCGACGTTGGTCGGACTCTCGCGTATATTTTCTTTAAACCTTCACCATTTAACCGTCTCACAGTGTACTTAGATTTCATCACTCGCTACAGAGCTGGCATTGCAACGGCGTTCGTGCTGACGGGAAGCGGTGCACTGAATCTGAATGTCCCTTGGAAGCAAAAGACACAGGCGACTTGAATGGAAGGAGAAACCTCATCCTTCCAAAACCCGGCGTTCGCTGGAACGAGGGCTTATGGAATCATGAATGAGAAGTTCCCCCCGGTGTTCGATAGCACGAGGGATGAATATTAGAGTGTCACGGGCACTCGCAAAGAAACGAGCGACCTCATTCCTGAAACCCGGCGTTCGATGGCACGGGGGGAATGTGGTCTTACGGCGTCACAAGCGCTCTGAATGGAAATGGTCCGATCCCTGAAAGCCCGGCGTTCGATGGCACAGGGGGAATGGGGTCTGGATAAGAAAAACTGGCTCTCGATAGCCGAGACAAATGCGGCTTTCGATAGCCCGCGAAAAAACGGCTTTTGATAGCCGAGAAAAAGGTGACTTTCGATAGCCCGGAGAACAGTGGCTCTCGATAGCTCAGAGTAACGTCGCTTTCGATAGCCAAGAAGAAGGTGGCTTTCGATAGCCAAGAAAAAGGTGGCTTTCGATAGCCCAGAAGAAAGTGGCTTTCGATAGCTGAGGAAATTACAATCTCGAAACAAAGCAGGAGGGATAATGGTGAAGTAATATCCGGGTGCGAAGGAGGGTAGGGGGGGACGCAGAGTCGTAACAGACTCGCAGCACGGGCGCTACGTTGATAAATTGAGGCTCACCTTACATAATCCCTGCGGCAGTGTCGAGCTGCCGGTGCGACACCTTCCCTTTGTGGCAGGCAAAGAAAGGCCTGGAAAGCTCCTCGCGCGAAATGCGGGCCCACGAAGCACGGAATGTGGTCAGGCCTGGGCAGGGGGCGGATCGAAACCAGCACTCCGGACCGAGTCAGCGACATCTTGGGCCGCGTTGGGTGACACAGCAGGGAGGGCATCAGGGCGCGTACAATTTGACTTAAAATTCCGCAGGGGATGGCCGCTGCCAGACGCAGAGTCCTAGCCTGAGGACGTCGAACCATCCAAATGTCCGCGTAAATGGCATTTTGAAGATTTCTAGGCCTTTGGGAGGGAACACGACAACTTGAATGCCCCTTAATAAATTCCAGAGCCTATTGTCACCGGCAAGTTTCAAACAATAAATCTAAGTTCAGATGTAGAGGGAACATTGGTTCAATGGCGGAGCGGCGCGCCTCTGCGCAATTCGGATTCCTTCGCTTTGTATGCAGAAGACGCCTGTTCGAATCAGGCTTGAACCATATTCCTGACCTGCTTCTTTTTGTCTTGAGGCACTTAGTCTCCCTAGTCAGACCAATATCAAGATTATTTTTTTAAAAGAATTCGAGGTGGAAAAAATAACCTGATATATGGTCTGATTCTACTCGCGCATCCGAAGCCGTAGGTCAGTGTTCCGGATATGGTAACTCCCAAAAGGGAAGTTCCCACGCCAAGTTTTGCTTCGCGTCGCGCGCGTCGTAGCATCTGGCGCGCTCTCGACCTCTACATGGCTCAGCCAAGTCCGTTTACGCGCTGGGCAGTCCCTACTACACCTGGAGCATCCAAACAGCCCTTTTCGGCCCTTAATCTGGGCACTCCGACAGTCCAGCGCAGTCGCACGCCCAAAGGCATCGCGCACACCCTCACGGAGGCAAACTTCTATGGAGAAATCCAATTTGGATCTATTCGAACCCCTGCTACGTCGTTTGACTACTCCCCCCCAAAAAAGCGGCGTCTGGCCACCTCTCGGGCCGATGAAAATACGGCACCTTTTGCGTTTACCAGCAGCCCTCGCGCTCCTTTGGACACCCCCGAGCCACCAAATAAACGAGCCAAACCCAACCCACCTCCTTCTAAGACAGATAACGCCTCTGGGAAGCGTAAACCTGCGAGAACAGATGCGCAGAAAATCGAATCAATCCTCGACGCAATTCAAGAGCAGAGATGGTCCCTCGGATGCTTCCTCTACAACATCTTTCGAATCAAGGATGCCAAGGGCAACCCAATACACCGGAGCCCAGCTCACTCCCAAATGGTCTCCATTTTCCTCGCTGGCCGGGGCAAAAAAACAGTTGCCAATATCATTACCGAGTGGATGGCACACGCCGACGGGCGCATTCCTGAAACTTCGCCGAATTGGGACCTGATGTATTCGACCACCATCCCCTACAATGAGATCAGACCCGTCCGTGCCGCTCTCACAGCCTTTTCGACACAGACCATTGGGAAGAAGGTCCGAGATGAAGCGGAGAGTGCGGTGAAACTCGGCAGTGGGCTGCACGTCTCCATCGGGTCGAAGCATCCGGAGACAAAGCTGTGTCGCGAAGACTTCGGCGACGCTACCATCCCTCGGGTCAAGTCGGTCATCGAACGAGAGCAAGCGGTGACTTTGTACCTCTGCAACAATATCGCGATGCGGAAACCCAGAAAGCGGGATGGAGTGATCCTTGAACGAAAAACGCGCCCCGCAGACACCGTATGTTTTGTTCCATACCATCTAGAGCACCGGAACTTAACTTTATATGACCCAGGTCATCATCCATGCCATTGCATCCCTCAATTTCTGTCGTACCGATCAAGCAAATCTCCTGCCGCTTATGCGCGGGATCCTGTATTTCGGCTCCTCTGCTCCTGTGGAGCTCATGAACTACAGTCGTATCGGAAACATGCCCGCACCTACTACAATCTGCCACGCACTCTGCAGCCTGTCAGAAGTGGAGGCAATTGCAACGGCAGCCCATGGCGCGGACCCGGAAACAGCCGGATTTCTCTTCGTGGACAACTGCCAAAATTATCATAGACAACGCGACCTTCGCGTTGGCCGCGAGAACATCATGAACGTCGGGATGTCACACCATGGATGAAGACGCGACGGAGGCCCGCTTTTGGACAGCGGAGGAGATTGAAGGGAAGGCTTCAGAGATAAAAGAGTGGGCTGAGCTTGTTTGCCATGCCGAGGGGGTTATGGCTGTTCAGCTGGCCATGTGCGAGGAGGCGGGGCTCCTGATCCCTCCTCATTGCACTCACACCTTTTATGGTCTTCGTTCCCCGGAACAACACGCCCTATTCCCTAGTTTACTGTCTTAACAAGCCTCTCCCAAGATCCTGGGGTAAACGAGCCAGAATTGAGGTCGAAAAAGTGTCCAGAAGGCCAGACAGTCCATTGACGCGTCGAGTCACGCGTGATGTCACGCGTCAAATTTTGCGCACCTTGCTCGACTTCGGGCTCTATTGGTGCTCGATCGTATCTGTGAGACCCTGGATCTCAACAATAGCATAGGAGCATCTATGAAATGCGTCATTTCTCCTTCTGTCTCCCTCCATGGCGCGCCGCAACAAGAAAAGTCAACAAAAAAGCCCCCCCAGCCAAGACTCCCGCTGAGGCCGCCGCGGATGAGCTGCGGATGAAGCAGGCTCTCGTTGCAGTTCTAGACTCTGGCCTGACCCCATCCGGTCGTCCCCGCTTCTCTCTTCGCGCAGCCTCCAAGCAATATGATGTTGCAAGGACAACACTTCAAGGACGCTACAACGGCCCAAGGGGGTGCCGGTCCGTGAATGCCGGACCAGGTGCCGGTTGGTTGGTTGGTCCGGCGGGTCCAATTTTTTTTTTTTGGGTACTTTTAAAGTTTGAACTTGGAGCAGGCCTGGGATTCCCGTAGCACTTCATAATGCTCAATACACACTGTCCGGGTGTCACAAAACCTCAGTTGCCCGGTTCCTCATCACCTCGTCCATATTCGGCAGTCGGTTAGCGCAACACGTGCAAATCCCCGGGGAATCACATAGAAGCCGACTAAAAATTTGCGCTTAGAAAACGCTATCCCCCCAACAGGACCCCGGATAATAGGCGTGAAGGCCTGGTCCCCGGATGCCCAAATCCGCCGATTTTTGTCCGGACAAGAAAACCCCGGATCCCAATTTTTTTGTCCGGACAGGACCTAGCATCCGCCAAAATTTCCAAATTTCGCGTTTTTCGTGTTTTTCGCGTTTTTCGCGTTTTTCTCGCGTTTTTTTTTGCCCCCCGGTGCTTCTATGGTGCTTCTCAGGCATCTCGGGGCCCCATGGTAGTTATTAGGTACAGCTATCATCCCTATGTGATAGAAATACAATTTGTAACCTAGTCTTCCTCGCCAGCTTCGGCAACCACATTTTTTCGGTGCTTGCGAAATAGTGTGTGAGGGCGGCGGAAAAATAAAAGATGAAATTGCTTGTAAGTGTGTGGCTGTGGCTTGTCGGGCCGACTAAGACCGACTCGCATAATAAAACGGTGGCCAGCGGATTCGAACTGGGACCGGTTTCAAAAAATCAAGCACGCCCAAGGTCGTGACACAGACCGTTGATAGTCTCTCTTGACAGACTCCCTCGCTCGTTCCTCGTTCTGTAGTCTGTTAGTTACCGCGGTCTGATTACCGTTAGCTCGCCTTATTACGTAATGATGGGAGATGCTTGCGCAAACATTCAATATCCCGGACGCGTTCTGCACGCGTTTTGAGCTTTTTACCGTCTCTGAACCCTGAGTTATGTTTTGAAAGCCATTCATACGAAAGAATAAGATTTTTGAGATTTTTTCTAGTCCCCCAGGACCACACACGGGTCGCATCCCATCAAATGGAGCACAGTGATGGGTTTTCAGGCGTTGAACTTGACCTCATGTAGAATAACATGTTCTAGAGTACTTTTTGTGACTTTATGAGGTATATCATATCAGAAATTTGCCTCCGAGAATCTTCTGTCGCGGGCAGCGCGTCCAAGTCGCGTCGTTGAGCGCTGCACGTGACTAATTACACCTTCCTAAACGAGCGAGCTTACATAATAAGGGGACCTAACGGTTACTTGGGCGCGGTAACTAACAGACTAGACCGTTGAGCCACCGAAGCCATTTGAAAGTATATCTGAGATGGCTCCTAGACCGGGGATTTTTGTCCGGACAGGGACCTAAGAGTTTTGCCCCCGACCCAAATTTTTGTCCGGACAGGGCCTAACTTGGAGGCTCAAAACCCAAATTTTTTGTCCGGACACGGACCAGGCCTTCACGCCTATTATCGGGGGTCCTCCCCCAACGCCGTTGCGCGGTTTGATGCCCGTGATGGCACTCTCACGTCTCGCTTAGCGCGGTCCGCCGCCATCTCTAAGTCCCTCCCGCCCTATTCTTCGTTGGTGTCGTGCCCGTTGGCGTCGGTGTCGTCGGTGTCGTCGCCAACGACGATGAGAGACCTTTTGTGATGGCACAGGCCTGATAAATAAATAAAATTTGTAACTTTGTACCAAGTTGAAAAATCAAGAATGTACGATTAGAGGGTAGATAAATAGCGGTAAATCAAGGAATATAGAGACCCATTGTGTTCCGTGTGTATCGAGCCGAGGATTTATCCCCCTTCTTCGCATAGGTGGTCGTGCGAACAGTTCCTGTCGCCGTGAAGCGTTGCACATCAGTTGCCATATTTGCGAGATCCCCTCCAATGTTATTAGCTTTCATCGACCTCAGCCAAAGCTTTGAATCTTTGGGGTGGTCCAGCTGAGACTGCATAATCTTGAGACCCTCTTCAACATTCTTGATTTTTCAACTTGGTACAAAGTTACAAAATTTATTTATTTATCAGGCCTGTGCCATCACAAAAGGTCTCTCATCGTCGTTGGCGACGACGCCGACGACACCGACGCCAACGGGCACGACACCAACGAAGAATAGGGCGGGAGGGACTTAGATAGCGCTGTGTAAGTCAGGCCATGTTAAATAACACAAACTTTATCACGTGTTATTAACACGTTAATAACGATTCTAACATGGAGGGCCTCCAGACGTATGTAATTATTGTGTTAGAAACTAAAAATCCCGCCCTAGTGCAACCAGGAAGGTCTGGTTAGCTTCCTCGACCAGATACGGCGGCTCCATCTGGTGATTGGAGCGCGATTTGCAGCGATTTGACAGCGACGTAATTTTCTTTCGGACGAGGCTCGGACCCCCCATCCTCTCTATCCTCAGCCCACTCTTTGCCCAGCCTCACAGAACACCTCTCCGAGCTCACTCTGGGACTCAAAAAGCCCCCGCGCAAGGGTCAATTCGGATATAAGGAGCCTTTGCTCCCGTCGTCTTCTCCCTCCTAGTCTACTCCGAGCAACGTCTCGGCGCGTTCTGCAGCCTCAACGACTTCGTCCCAGGTGGATATCTCAGGATCCAGTACCTTACGGTACATTTCTTATTGAATGTCCTTGCGGAAGCTATGCCAAAGCTTAACCACCTATCTCAGCCTTCGTGCCACCC